AAAAAAAAAAAAAAAAAAACCCAGAAAGAGCTCAGTCCTTCCCAAGTCCAGGGACACCTCACAGGAGGAGCCACCCTTGGGGGGGATTATTCTCCCTCTCAACAGTCCTGAGGACACTCACAGCCGGCCTTTTCTGCCTGTCTCCCCACTCACCGTCTTGCCTGGGCATTGTTGGTGGGAGATCTCCTCAGAGCACCAGAGGTGGACGCTGACTTTGCATGTCTTACATCGCAAGCCCTGCTTGGAGTTTCCTAAGAACAAATTGGGTTCAGCAAGAAAGGATATTCTCATGGATAAGAAGCAAAGGAAAAAGGTGAGGGCATGGGGGAGAGCAAGAGTTGGGCATTCTCATGCCAGCCTTGGGCCTACCACCTACCCCTCATGCAGTTAGGGTGAGAAGTGGCACTGAAGCCGGAGGTGGTAGTAAGCACAGCAGTGGCACTGGGTGCACACTCACCACCATGCTGCTTATTTGTCTGCTCAGGGTGAGAGGCATGGTTAGTACTGGAGGCCCTGAATAGCAAGAGTCCGGGACCAGGCAGTACCATAGGCCACCCCCCTAATGCCCTCTCTGCGCTCCCCTTGCCCACGTCAGGATCCAGGCACTTACCCACAATGAGCTGATGGCACAGCTCACAAGGGCTGGCTCTCTTGAAGACATGTTCCTGGAAGCTGTGCAACCTCACTGGTTTGAGTGGTGCCAGGGGACGTGGGACTGGGCATGGAGATGGTGCTGGGGTGGGCAAACCCCCATCTGTGGATGTAGGTGGTGGGGAGGGAGGGGGAAGGGGGGTTGGGGGCGTCAGCAGCACCTCGGTGGGGCACTTGAGCTCAGAGCCTGAGCGAAGGAAGAAGTTCTCCACACTCTTACTTCGGAGGATGGTCTTGAGGGAGAGAGAGCGCTTGAATCGCTGGAGCTGAGAGGAGAAGAGGGAACTGTGAGTGGGACCCTGGAGGGGGCTGACCCTGGCTGGCTTCCCTTCAGAATGTCTCCAACAGCAGCATGGAGCTGAGGTTCAGAGGTGAGCTGAAGTACTGAGAGAGGCTCCAGAGTTCCAGACAATTTCAGATGCTTACAAGAGCCAGGCAAGTAACCTCTGTGAAGAAAGTTCTATTCAAGACCAGCCTGGGAGGCTCGGCACCTGTGGCTCAAGTGGCTAAGGCGCCAGCCACATACACCTAAGGTGGCGGGTTTGAATCCAGCCCAGGCCTGCCAAAACAACAATGATGGCTGCAACCAAAAAATAGTGAGGCATTGTGGCAGGCACCTGTGGTCCCAGCTACTTGGGAGGC